CGCGCGCACACGTTCCCGCGCCCCGTTGGCCGCCGCCGCGCCCGCCACCGCGCCGCCATTGGCCGCCGGGGCCGTCACTCAACCGGGCGCGAGCTTCCGCCGCGCCGCGCTCTGATTGGGCGGCGCCGGAAAAGGGGGCGGGGCCGGGCCGTGAGGGCAGAGCGGGGGCGGGCGGGGAAATCCTGAGGGATCGGGGCGAGCAGCGGGAAATAACTCTGGGAACGCGCCGACAACCAGCCTGCATTCGAGACAGTGATATATAAGAGCAATTAGTTCTGTGCTTGAGGAATAACACAGTAAAAATCATGCTGGAGCGGCAAGGGTAAGGTGAGGAAATGGCAGGAATGAGATAAAATCATTCCGGGTTTCGAAGAATAAGATAAAATCCTTGCGGGATTGAAAGAATAAGGTAAAATAATTGCAGGTTTGAAAGATTAAGGTAATTGTAGACTCGAAAGATTAAGAGAATAAAAACGGTGTAGCATGGCAAGAATTAAGACATTCACTCCAGGGTTGCAAGATTAAGATTAATTAATTCTAGAATCGCAAGTATAAAATGATTCCATAGCTTTGAAGAGCAATACACAAGAGTAAAATAATTCCAGAATTGCAAGAACAAGGTAAGAAAACCATCCTGGATTGGCAAGAATAATATAGAGTAAAATGAAATAATTCTAGAATTGTAAGAACAAGGTGAGAAAATCATCCTGGGTTGGCAAGAATAATATATAACATAAAACTATGCTGGGATTGCAAGAATAAAACATGATAAAGTTGTTCCAGAATGGTAAGAATACAAAACTCATTCTAGAATGGCAATAAATAAATTCTAGGGTTGCAAGAGTAATTTATTCTATATTTGCAAAAATGTATGAGGAAAACAGTTCTAGAAAGCCAAAAATACAAGAAAAAAATCTAGACTTGCAAGAATAATGCATTTAAAATCACTGAAATGGCAAGAATACAAGAAAATAATTCTGAAGCTGTGAGAATAAGTAAGAAAATAACTCCAGGATTGCGAGAATAAATTAAGAAAGTAGTTCTGGAATTTCAAGAATGATAAATAATAAAATAATTCTATCATTACAAGGATAATGCATCATCATTCTAGATTTTCAGGAATATAAGGCAAGAGTAATTCTGGAATTAGAAGGATAATCTGTAACAAATAGTTCCATGTTACACAGTTATAATGAAGTAACTCTATAATTATAAATAATGGCAAGAATTCCTCTCCTGACTCTGTACTTCATGTCCCGGCCCCTCTCCTTGGTGGGCAGGGGCCAGCTGTGGAATTTGGAGCCAATTCCATGGGATGTGCCGGGCACAGGGCGCTCTGGAGGGTCCCACCCTGTCCCCCCTGGGACCAACAGGAAGGGGCTGAGGGAACATCAACACTAATTTCCACCCTTTTCACTGTTTCTTGCCCCAAAAAGGCACCTCCACAGAGCCAAACTGAACATCCTGGGTAAAACTCCAGCAGCTGGAACACTGTCCAGTTGGGATAACAGAGCTCCCTGTCACACAGGCAGCACATGGATAAACACATTCCAGATCGCTCAGCTGAGAGCCTCGAGGGACAGGACACAGGGAATGGCTTCCCACTGCCAGAGGGCAGGGTTGGATGGGATATTGGGAAGGAATTCCTGGCTGGGAGGGTGGCGAGGCCCTGGCACAGGTTGCCCAGACAGGTTGTGGCTGACCCTGGATCCCTGGAAGTGTCCAAGGCTTGGAGCAACCTGGTCTAGTGCAAGGTGTCCCTGCCCATGGCAGGGGTTGGAATAAGTTGGGATTTAAGGTCCCTCCCAACCCAAACTGTTCTGGGATTCTGTGATGGCTGGGGA